AAGGTGTCTCCATTCTGTTCTCATTAGTGGCTCTTACCAGGTTACGTCCCACTTAAAGATGAGGGTATGCACTTTTCCACAACCCATTCAGCATTTATTGTTTGTAGTTTTCCCGCTTATGTTTATTCTGACTGGTGTGAGCTGATACCTCTTTGTAGTTGGATTTGCATGCATCTCATAATCCCTTGAAATTGAGCTTTGAGGCATGTCCTGTTTTTCTTCAAACTGTGAGTACAGCTTACCTCTTCAAATGATTTTCTTGAAGTAAGTGCCACATTTTGAAGTATAATGGCCATTACCTCCTTGAAGTAATTTTGAGGGCAGGTTTCATTTACAGCCCTCCAGTACATGTGCATATGAAGTGACCATTACCACAGGTTTTATAGCTGCTGTTGCAGGTAACGGCCATTTGGCGGCAGTATTTCTGCTTTCCCCATTCTGGTAACTACGGAAACAGACCTTTCTGCCAGTCATGTTCCTGGATTAAACATTAGAGTGGAATGTGCCTGGATAACCCTCCAAAAGCTGATGTCTCATTATTTATGGTTGGTTTCTAAATTGAATTTATAATTTTTTTATTGGAGTAATATTGTGTACATGGAGTAATATTTTTTTATTGGAGTAATATTGTGTACATGGACCACTGCTTCTTTGTGCATTCCTCTCTTGACGGATATTTTCGTTGCTTTCAAATGGTAGCTGTGGTAATTATTGCTGGAGTGCCGGATTGCCAGCCTGTGTCTCTTTGATTCTCATCCTCTCAGGCGATAGGCCCAGCAGTGGGTATGCTTGACTGAATGGTAGCTAATATTTACCTTTTCAAGGCACCTCCTTTGTGTTTTCATTACTGGCTCTTACCAGGTCCCACTTTGAAGCGAGGGTACACTTTTCTCCACAACCCCTTCAGCATTTATTGTTTGCAGAATTTTTGCTAATGGCCATTCTGACAGGTATGAGCTGACAGTTTTTTTAATTTGGATTTTCATGTCTTTAATAATTCCTAATGTTCAGCATTTTTCCATGCCTTGTTTTCTTTCTGTTAAACAAAAACAGAAAAATACTGTGAGTACAATAAACCACTTGAAGTTGTCTTCTGGGAAGGCTTCCCTCTTTTGAATTTTTTCTTCGATTTTCGACCCCAGGATTTTTTTTGAGAGCCGGTGACATTTACAGGCTTGCAATGAGTGTGAATATTTCGTGACCACTGTTACTGGCTTTAAAGGTGCTGTTGGGGGAAATGGCTACAAGGCGGCAGCATTTCTCCATTCCCAAAACTGGTTTCTAGGGCAGCACAGCCTTTCTGGAAGTCGTGTTCCCAGGTAAATTAGAATTGAATTAGAATTGAATGTGCTAGGAAAAAAACCCGTAAGTTAATATTCCATTATTTCTTGTTCGATTTTTTAGTCTTTTTAAATCGGGGTAATGTTTAGAATATTGTTTGTCCTAGGTGTATACAATCTGGTTCATTTGTACTATATATATATATATATATATATATACACACACACACACACACACACACATATATATATATATATGTAATATATTCATATACAGATGCTCTTCCCATGTAAATTATTGCAGAGTGCTCCACTGACCTCCCTAGCTATATGGTCAGTCTCTTTCATAAATGTATTTAGTAGGTATTTGTACACATATTGTAACCCTAATCTTAATTTTCCATACCACCCACCTTTCCATTTACATAAGAATAGTTTGTTTTCTAAGTCTATAAGTTTCTTTCTCTGTGAAAATGCTATCATTTTTGTCAGTTGTTAGATAACGCATATAAGTGATATCATACTATATGTCTTTTTCTTTCTGACTTACCTCATGTTCTGAGATTATATCTAGGCTCATAAATGGTGCCTCAACGAGCAGTGTTTCACTGTTTTCCATGGCTAATATTCCATTATGTACATGGACCACTTCTTCTTTATCCATTCATCCATTGATGGACATTTTGGTTGCTTCCATGTCTTGGCTATTGTGAAAACTCCTGCAGTGAAGCTGTTGCAGCCTGTGCCTTCTCGACTCTGGTATTTTCAGGTGAGAGGCTCAGCGGTGGGTCTGCTGAATGGAATGCCGGCTTAATTTTTACTTTTAAACACAGCTCCTTTCTGTTCTCACTATTGGCTCTTACCAATTTACATCTCACCAGTAGCTAGAGGGTAAAGAGTTCTCTAAAGCCCCTTCAGCATTTATTGTTTGTAGACTTTTGGCTGATGGTAGTTGACGTGCGTGAGTTGAAATCTTTTTGTAGGCTAGATTTGCATGAGTCTAAAAATTTCTGTTGTTGAGCTTTTATCCATTTTCCTTGTTTTTAGAAAATAATGAGTAAAATTTACCTCTTCATACTATCTCCTTGAAAATTTTGCCAGTTGTGAATTTTTTTGGCCATTCCATACCTCTGCACAATTTTTGAGGGCAGTTGTCCTTTACTGTCCTGAATCGTTGTGAATGTTAAGTGACCGTTAGCTGTGGTTTTAAAGCCGCTCTTGTGGGAAACGGCCACAAGGTGGCAGCACTGCTACATTTCCAACTCTGGGGTTTTGGGCAACAGAGGTTTCCTGGAAATCGTGTTTGTAGGCTGCAAATTAGAGTGGAATGTGCCAGGGCAAACCCCCAAGAGCTTATATCTCCTTACTTCTTGTTTGTTTTTTAAATTTAATTTTTATTTTTTATCAGAGCAAATTTGAGAAAAATGTTGTGTGTGTTTTATGTGTAGAGAATCTGGTTCATTATATCTATGTATCGATCTTTTCATATTTGGATCCCTTCCCGTGTAGGTTATTACAGAGTGTTGAGTAGACCTCTCTTGGTATTCCATAGCTATTTTGTGATTATATATTTCATATATATTAGTACATGTCTGTTAAACCCCATATCCTAATTCATACATTGCTTACACCTTTCCATTTGGTTAAGCAAAATGTGATTTTCTGAATCTGAGAGTGTTCTTCTCTTGGAAATTATTTCATGGGTATCAATTTTTATGTTACACCTATAAGTGAGGTAATAGGATATCTGTCTTTCGGTTTCTTTCTTACTTCAAATTGGGTGATTGTCTCTAGATCCTTCTATGGTGGTGCCAACTGTACTGTTCCATGCTTCTCCATGGCTAATATTCCATTGTGTACATGGATGACTTCTTCTTGATGCCTATTTCTGTTGATGGACATTTTGGTTTCTTCCAGGTCTTGGCTATGTTACAAGTTATTGCATACCGTACCAGTTCCCTAACCCTAAACCTAACCCAAAGCCTCACCCTTACCCGAAACCTGACCCTAACTCATACCCTAATCCTAACCCGTACACTGAAACTAACTCATACCCTAACACGTATGCTAACACTAAATATTTTTCATTCCCTAACCTGTACACTATAACGTGTGCGTTCCCTAAACTGAACCCTAACCCTAAAACTACACCTTAAAATAAGCGTTAACCTACCCTGTACCCTAATCCTAACGCTATCACTGACACTAACCCATACCCTAATACATACCCAAACCTAAATGTTGTCATACACAAACCTGTTCCATAAACCGTATACCTTACCTAACACTAAGCCTAACTCAAACCCTAACCTTAAAACTAAACCTAAGCCTGACACTAAACCGTACCGTAATCCTATGTTGTACACTAACACTAACCAGGACCCTAACAAGTACCATAACCGTGATCCACTGTCATACACTAACCAGTACTCTAAACCGTATCCGATCCCTAACACTAACCCTAACCTAACCCTCACCCTAACCCTTACCTGAAACCTTACCCTAAGCCATACCATAATCCTAAATGGTACACTAACACTAACCCGTACTCTAACAGGTACGCTAAACCTAAACACTTGTCGTACCCTTCCCTTTACCCTAAACTGTACCCAATCCCTAACCCTAACCCTAAACTTAACCCTTACCCAAAGTCTTACGCTAAACCGTACCCTAATCCTAACCCAAACACTAGCACTAACTGGTACCCTAAAATGTACGCTAAACATAAACCGTTGCTGTACCATAAATTGTACCCTAAACCGTACACGTTCCCTAACCCTAACACTAACCCTATCCTTAAACCTTACCCGAAGCATACCCTAACCAGTAACATAATCCTAACCCGTTCACTAACACTAACACGTACCCTAACACATATGCTAAATCTGAACCATTGTCCTACCATAAACAGTACACTAAACCATACCAATTCACTAACCCTAACTCTAAACCTAAAGCTAAGTCTTACCTGAATCATTACCCAAACCCGTACCCTAATCCTAACCCATACAATAACACTAAACCGTACGTAACACGTACGCTAAACCTAAAGAGTTGTCATACCCTAACCTGTACCCTAAACAATACACATTACCTAACACTAACCCTAAACCTAACACTTACACGAAGCTTTACCCTAACCCCTACCCTAATCCTAACCCGTACACTAACACCAAACATTACCCTACTACATAAGCTAACCCTAAAACGTTGTCGTACCCTAACCTGTACACTAAATCGTCCCCGTTCCCTAACCCTAACCCTAACCTTTACCCGAAGCCTTACCCTAACACGTCCCCTAATCCTAAACCTTACAGTAGTACTAAACTGTACCCTAACATGTACATTAAACCTAAAACGTTGTTGTACCACAATATGAACCGTACACCATCCCCGTTCCCTAACCGTAACCCTAACCCTAACCCTAATCCTTAACCTAACACTAACACTTACACGAAGCCTTACCCTAACCCGTCACCTAATCCTAACCCGTACAATAACACTAACCCATACCCTAACACGTACGCTAACCCTAAACATTTGTCGTACACTAACCTGTACCCTAAACCGTCCCTGTTCCCTAATCCTAACCCTAACCTTAACCCAAACACTAAACCTTACCCGAAGTCTTACCCTAACCCGTACCCTAAACCTAACCCGTACACTAACACCTGTACACTAACACGTACGATAAACTTAAACCGTGGTAGTACGCTAACTTGTAACCTAAACTGTCCCCGTTCCCTAACACTTACCCGAAGCCTTACCCTAACCCGTCCCCTAACCATAACACGTACACTAACACTAACAGGTACCCTAACATGTACGCTAACCCTAAACCGTTGTCGTACCCTAATTTGTACCCTAAATTGTATATGTTCCCTAACCCTAAACTTAACCCTAACCCTAAACCATACCCGAAGCCTTACAGTAACACGTCCCGTAATCCTAAACCATACACTAACACTAACACGTACCCTAACACGTATGCTAAACCTAAATCGCTGTCGTACACTAACCTGAACCCTAAACCGTCCCCGTTCCTTAACCCTAACCCTAACCCTAAAACTAACACTTAACCGAAGCCTTACCCTAACCCTTCCCCTAATCCTAACCCGAACACTAACACTAACACATACCCTAACACGTACACAAACCCTAAATTTTTGTCGTACCCTAAACTGTACCCTAAACCATCCCCGTTCCCTAACCATAACCCTGACCCTAACACTTACCCAAAGCTTTACCCTAACCCGTCCCCTAAACATAAAACGTAAACTAACACTAACGCATACCCTAAAACGTACGCTAACACTAAAACATTATCGTACCCTAACCAGTACTCTAAACTGTCCCCGTTCACTAACCCTAAACCTAACCCTAAGCCTAACCCTTAACTGAAGTCTTACCTTAAACTGTCCCCAATCCTAACCCATACCCTAACACTAAACCATACCCTAACACGTATGCAAACTGTAAACTGTTGTTGTACCCTAACCTGTACCCTAAGCTGTTCCCGTTCCCTAACCATAACCCTAACCCTAACCCTAAACAATACCCAAAGCCTTACCCTGACCCGTCCCCTAATCTTAACCCATACACTAACAGTACAAGGTACCCTAACACGTACGCTAACCCTAAACCATTGTCGTACCTTAATCTGTAACCTAAACCGTCCCCATTCCCTAACCCTAACCCTAAACTTAACCCTAACCGTTACCCGAAGCCTTCCACTAACCCATCCCGTAATCCTAACCTGTACATTAACATTAACCCATACCCTAACACATACGCTAAACGTAAACCGCTATGGTACACTAACCTGAACACTAAACCGTACCTGTTCCCTAACCCTAACCCTAACCCTAAACCGAAAACTTACCCGAAGCCTTACCCTAACCCGTCCCCTAATCCTAACCCATACACTAACACTAACCCGTACCCTAACATGTATGCTAATCCTAAACAGTTGTCATACCCTAACCTGTACTTTAAACCTTCCCTGTTCCCTAACACTAACCCTAACCTTAACACTAAACATTACTCCAAGACTTACCCTAACCTGTCCCCTAATCCGAACCGGTACACTAACACTAACTCGTACCCTAACATGTACGCTAACACTAAACTGTTGTCGTACCTTAAACTGTACCGTAAACCATCCCCATTCCATAACCCTAACCCTAACCCTTACCTGAAGATTTATCCTAACACGTTCCCTAATCCTAACCCGTACACTAACACTAACCCGTACCCTAACACGTACGCTAACCATAAACTGTTGTCGTACCCTAACCTGTACCCTAAACCGTCCCCGTTCCCTAACCCTAAACCTAACCCTAACACTAAACCTTATCCGAAGCGTTACCCTAACTCGTCCCATAATACTAACCCGTACACTAACAGTAAAACGTATCCTAACACGTATGCTAACCCTAAACCGTTGTCGTACCCTAACCTGTACCCTAAACCGTCCCCGTCCCCTAACCCTAACCCTAACCCTTACCCGAAGCCTTACCCTAACCCGTCCCCTAATCCTAACCCGTACGCTAACACTAACCCATACCCTAACACATACGCTAACCCTAAACCATTGTCGTACCCTAACCTGTACCCTGAACCTTACCCGTTCCCTAACTCTAACCCTAACCTTAACCCTAAGCCTTAACCTTATCCAAAGCCTTACCCTAACCCGTCCACTAATCCTAACCCGTACACTAACACTAACCCGTACCCTAAAACGTATGCTAACCCTAAACCATTATCGTACCCTAAGCTATAACCTACACCATCCAGATTCCCTAACCCTAAACCTTACCCAAAGCCTTACCCTAACACGTCCCCTAATCCTAACCCGTAAACTAACACTAACATGTACCCTAACACATACGCTAACCCTAAATTGTTGTCGTACCCTAACCTGTACCCTAAACCGTCCCCATCCCCTTACCCTCAACCTAACCCTAACCCTAAAGTTTACATGAAGCCTTACCCTTACCCGTCCCCTAATCCTAACCCACACCCTAAATCTTACCCCTACCCTAACACTTATGCTATCCTTAAACCATTGTCATACCCAAACCTGTACCCTAAACCATCCCCGTTCCCTAACCCTAACCCTAAAGTCTACACGAAGACTTACCCTTACCCGTCCCCTGATCCTAACACGTACACTAACACTAACACGTAATCTAACACGTGCGCTGACCGTCAACCATTGTCGTACCTTAAACTGTACCGTAAAACATCCACGTTCCATAAACCTAACCCTAACCCTTACCTGAAGCCTTACCCTAACCCGTTCCCTAATCCTAACCCGTACACTAACACTAACCTGTACCCTAACACATACGCGAAACCTACACAGTTTTCATACACTAACCTGTACCCTAATCCGTTACCATTCCCTAACCTTAACCCTAATCCTAACCGTAAGCATAAACCTAAACCTTATCCTAAGCCTTAGCCTAACCATTCCCGTAATCCTAAACAGTAAACTAACACTAACCCATACCCTAACACGTACGCTAACCCTGAAGTGTTGTCGTACACTAACCTGTACCTTAAAATGTCCCCGTTCCCTAACCCTAAACCTAATCCTAACCTTAACCCTAACCCTAACTCTCCCTGTTCCATAACCCTAAAACTAACCCTAACGCTAAGCCTTACCCGAAGCCTTAACCTAACCCGTCCCCTAATCCTAACACTTGCACTAACATTAATCCATACCCTGAAATGTACATTAACACTAAACCGTTGTTGTACGCTAACCTGTACACTAAACTGTCCCCGTTCCCTAACCCTAACCCTAGCCCTAAACCTTACCCGAAGCCTTACCCTAACCCGTCCCCTAATCCTAACCCATACGCTAACACTAACCCATACCCTAACACGTACGCTCACCCTAAACCGTTGTCGTACCCTAACCTGTACCTTAAACCATCCCCATCCCCTAACCCTAACCCTAAACCTAACCCTAACCCTTACCCGAAGCCTTACCCTAACCCGTCCCCTAATCCTAACCCGTACACTAACACTAACACGTACCCTAACACGTACGCTCACCCTAAACCGTTGTCGTACGCTAACCTGTACCCTAAACCGTCCCCGTCGCTGTGCCCTAAACCTAACCCTAACCCTAACCCTAACCCTTACCCCTACCCGAAGCCTTATCCTAACCCGTCCCCTAATCCTAACCCGTACGCTAATACTAATCAGTACCCTAACACATATGCTCACCCTAAACCGTTGTCATACCCTAACCTGTACCCTAAACCGTCCATGTCCCCTAACTCTAACCCTAACCCTAACTCTAACCCTAAATCTTACCCGAAGCCTTACTCTAACCCGTCCCCTAATCCTACCTCGTACGCTAACACTAACCCATACTCTACAACGTACGCTCACCCTAAACCGCTGTGGTACCGTAACCTGTACCCTAAACCGTCCCTGTCCCCTAACTCTAACCCTAACCCTAATCCTTACCTGAAGCCTTACCCTAACCCGTCCCTAATCCTAACCCGTACACTAACAATTACACTTACCATAACACGTATGCTCACCCTAAACCATTATCATACCCTAACCTGTAACCTAAACCGTCCCCGAACCCTAACCCTAACCCTAACCCTATCCCTAAACCTAACCCTTACCGGAAGCCTTACCCTAACACATCCCCTAATCCTAACCCGTACACTAACACTAACCCATATGCTAACACGTATGCTAACCCTCAACTGTTGTTGTACCCTAAACTGTAACATAAAACATTCCCGTTCCCTAACCCTAAGTGTAACCCTTACCCGAAGCCTTACCCTAACCCCTACCCTAATCCTAAACCGCACACTAACAGTATCCCGTACCCTAACACGTATGCTAACCCTAAACCTTTGTCGTACCCTAACCTGTACCTTAAACCATACCTGTTCCCTAACCCTATCCCTAACCCTATCCCTTACCTGAAGCCTTACCCTATCCTGTACCATAATCCTAACCTATACACTAACACTAATCCGTACCCTAACATGTACACTAACCCTAAACCGTTGTCGTACCCTAACCTGTACCCTGAACCATGCCCGTTCCCTAACCCTAACCCTAACCCTTACCCGAAGCCTTAACATAACCCATACCCTAATCCTAAGCCGTACACTAACACTAACCTGTACCCTAACACGTACGCTAACTCTAAACTGCTGTCGTACCCTAACTTGTACCCTAAACCGTACCCGTTCCTTAACTCAAACCCTAACCCTAACCCTAAACCTTACCCGAAGCCTTACCGTAACCCGTACCCTAATCGTAACCGTTACACTAACACCCGTACCCTAACATGTATGCTAACCCTAAAACTTTGTCATACCCTAACCTGTACCCTAAACCATACCCTTTCACTAACCCCAACCCTAACCCTTATGCAAATTATTACCCTAATCCGTACCCTAATCCTAACCCGTACACTAACAATAACCTGTACCCTAACACGTACGCTAACTGTAAACCGTTGTCGTACCCTAACCTGTACCCTACACTGTATCCGTTCCCTAACCCTGACCCTAACCCTCACCCTTACCTGAAGCCTTACCCTAACTCGTACCCTAATCCTAACCTGTACACTAACACTAAACCATACTTTAACAGCTACGCTAACCCTATACCGTTGTCGTACCCTAACCTGTTCCCTAAACCATACCCGTTCCATAACCCTAACCTTAACCCTAACCCTCACCCTTACCCGAAGCCTTACCCTAACTCGTACCCTAATCCTAACCTGTACACTAACACTAACCCGTACTCTAACAGCTAGGCTAACCCTATACCATTGTCGTACCCTAACCTGTTCCCTAAACCATACCCGTTCCATAACCCTAACCTTAACCCTAACCCTAACCCTTACGCGAAGCCTTACCCTAACACGTACCCTAATCCTAACCCATACACTAGCACTAACCTGTGCGCTAAAACGTACGCTAACCCTAAACCGTTGTCATACCCTAACATGTACCCTAAACCATACCCGTTCCCTAAACCTAACCCAAAGCCTAAACCTAACCCTCATGCTTACCCAAAGCCTTACCCTAACACGTACCCTAATCTTAACCCTTACACTAACACTAACCCATACCCTGACACGTACGCTTACCCTAAATCATTTTCGTACACTAACCTGTATCATAAAACGTACCCGTTCCCTAACCCTAACACTTCCCTGAAGCCTTACCCTAAACCATACCCTAATCCTAACCCGTACACTCACACTAACCTGTATGCTAACACGTACGCTAACCCTAAACAGTTGTCGTTCCCTAACCTGTAACCTAAACTGTACCCGTTCCCTAACGCTAACCCAAACCCTAAACCTAACACTAAACCTAAACCTTACCCGAAGGCTTACCCTAACCCTTACCCTAATCTTAACCCGTACACTAACACTAACCCATACGCTAATATGTACGCTAATGCTAAACAGTTGTCGTACCCTAACCTGTACCCTAAACCATCCCCGTCCCCGTCCCCTAACCCTAACTCTAACCCTAACCCTTACCAGAAGCCTTACCCTATCCCGTACCCTAATCCTAAACTCTACACTAACACTAACCCGTACCCTAACACGTACGTTAAACCTAAACCGTTGTCATTCCCTAACCTGTACCCTAAAGCATACCCGTTCACTAAGCCTAACCTTAACCCTAACCCTAACCCTTACCCGAAGCCTTACCCTATCCCGTCCCCTAATCCTAACCCGTACGCTAACACTAACCCGTACCCTAACACTATGCTCACCCTAAACCGTTGTCGTACCCTAACCTGTACCCTAAACCGTCCCCGTCCCCTAACCCTAACCGTAACCCTAACCCTTACCCGAAGCCTTACCCTATCCCGTATCCTAATCCTAACCCGTACACTAACATTAACCCATACCCTAACACATGCGGTAACCCTAAACCATTGCAAAATGGATGACAAAACTCTATGGCAAAAAAAAAAAATCAACATTTTAAATAAAGACAGCATTACTATTCCTGATGTTTTTCTTGCCTCAGGCTTCAATATGTCTCATCACAAAACTGTCTTTATGTCAGATTTTGATACTTTGTTCATGATTTGTTGCATTAATTTTGATGTTTTGACATGTATTAAGATGGTATTTTTCTGTATTCCTGAGAGTGCTTTTATTTTCTTCCTTGTTTGGTTCCTCCTTAAATGTCACACCCAAGTGCATCGCTCGGCCCCTCGCTGGCTGCACCCCATCTGTAGAGAGGGGTGCTTTGCTCTTCCTCAGAGTCCTGGGGGCTGGGGTTCCTGGATCAGGCACCAGACACTCAGCGTCCGATGAGAACCCGCTTCCTGGGCTCTTAATGGGTCACATAAGGTCGTCAAGTTGTATCCCGTCTATGGAAGTCTTGGAATGATAAGGCAAGTTTTAAGTGACACATTCTTGGAAAAAATATTAAATATAGAAGGATCTGAACTTGCCTGCGGTCGTGTTCACCCCAAACCCGATCACCAGGAGTCTCCAGTTCAGATTCATCTGAGTTGTTTGCTGGGCACTGTGCTGGGCTCCTCACCCCGCCCTGTTCCATCTTCCCCCATTAGCATCCCAGAGGTCCCGGGACGGATGCCGAGACTGAGTGCACTGGCAAAGTTCTCAGCCAGATAACGTGCCACCAGCTTGAGCAGAGGACCTGGGAGGAGGGTGGGCAGCCTGGACCCAGAGGGACAGACGTTGTAGGGCATCCAAGAGTCAACTCCAGTGAGCTGTCCGTGAGGACACCATGTGTCTTCCCCACAGAGATAGCAATGCCTGCATCCCAGGACATCTGAACTCTGTGAAATAAAGCTGATATTCTATTTCACAAAAATTATTCTTATTATTACCAGACAATAAAAGAGCCCCTCCTCCCCCGTTATTGATTACAAAGGCTTACAAACTCCCTCCAGGAGGATTTTTCCACAGGTTGTTTTATCATCATGGCTATTAAGGTCCTTCCTAGCAAAGTGCTAGAATTGTGATAGAGAAATAGAAACCTTTCTGCCTTTGCAAAGAATTGTTAGGCTGAAGAGTATGTGAATTGCAAAATAGCGTAACAAAGATTTGCAATGCATTTCTGTCATGTGGAAGAAGAATCGAAGTTACTCGACTTTATTTAAATGTTGTTGACAGGAAGTGGCTGCCTTCACGCCTAGGCATGGTGACGATTCACACGTACTTATAAACTAAAATGGTGGAAAAGAGACACTTGTCAATACAACCCTTAGAAAACCCAGAGACTCTTGGAACCTGGGAGCAGATTCATGGGAGAAAAAGGAGAAGTTGACAGCAGGGAAACCATGAAGGCCTCCCTTGGCTTCCATCTGCAGGAGCTGACGGGGGTCAGGACATCCCCAAAACGGGAGCTAGGAGTGGGGTTACAGGGTCCAGATCCTCTCCTGTCACCTGAAGGTTTGAGCTGCAACACCTCGGGTCTTTCCTCAAGCTCCTGCATCCATGCTGCTGTGAGTGGCTAATGCAATTGTTCCTACCAGCATCCAGGCAGGTCCCCTGTCTGCAGGTGCAAAGGAGGGAGCTGAAGTTTAGAGCAGTGAGGCAAACTTGTCCATGGCCATGATGGGGTTCAGGACACGCCTCCCAAATATGGCACCTTGGCACATTGAGTATTTCAAGGGGAAGGAATCTGAGGAACAGCAGGTGCATGTCGTGAGACCCTCATGTGAGAGGTGCCCTCCCTCTACCCCAAGGAAGGGAGCATCCTTGCCTCCAAGAGGAGGGATCCAGAGAAGGAACCCCATGAAGAGGCCTTGGCAGGTCCCCCCATTTCACCACCCTGAGCGCAAACTCTTTGCCTTTCACATCTTCCCATGACTCTCCACTCTTATCATACCCAGTATAAAAACTTCCAGGTGTAACCAGGTCATCATTTCCTTGTGAAGGCTCCCATGTCACATAAAACTTATATGGAATAAGTATGTATGATTTTCTCCTGTTAATCTGCCTTTCCTTAGAGGGCCCCAGCTGAGAATCGCCTTGATGCTGTTCTACATAAATCCCTCTCCCAGGCCATATTCTTGAGCACAGGAAATGTCTCTGATTCATCTTTGGAGTTCCCACAAAACCTCGCCCACCACCTTGACCTGTTAGAAAGCACTAATGATACTCTTATCTATTCCACAATCTTTCCTAAGTTGTACGTCTGAAACCCTGAGGTTCACAAGAGCATTGTGGTGGGATAACATTTTGGTAGATTAACAATTTCTCCCACCATTTTCTGTTCACACCCTTCCCTCTGTTCACACAGCCCAGGGTTTGTCTTAACTGCCTCAGGAAACGAGGACAGGGGAGCAGCCCAGAGAGAAACAATAGAGGCAAATTCCTAGCTCTGGACTTTTGAAAAGTGGAGGTAGAGGCACAAAACAATAGATGTGGAAGGATATTTTTATCTGAGAGCCAGCTTTTCTCTCCCCCTACTTCCAGGCTAAAAGTGTTTTCCTAAATGGGAAGAAATGGAGAAAAAGGATCAGTTGGGAGAAAAGAAAAATAAAAACATTTAAACGCTAGTGGACTCCTGAGAAGGGACCTCTGCCTGTTCCCTGAGGAGGGGAGGAGAGGATTCTCAGATGGGCAGGGGATCCTGGTGAACACAGACCAAGGCTCCCAGTCTGAGAGTCAGTCCTGGGGAGACACACAGCCCCCTGCTGACAGCCACTGGGGTGTTGCAGAAACGCCCAGCCGAGAGTCTGGCTACTCAGGCCAGCTTAGCCCCAGAAGTCCTGTGTGCCTGGGGTGGAGGGCGAGCAGTGGATTCATCTCCTCCACCCCAAAAGCAGAGGTCAGAGTGGGGCGAAGCTGAGACAGATGGACATGGGAACACCTTGTGGACACGAACAAGGGGGCACAACAGCGTCAGCCCATGGCTTAGCCAGGGAGGACCCCAGAGACAAGATGCTTCCAGCAGAGGCCAGGTGGCAAGTGACAAGGGAGCCCCAGGGACAGCCCTTCCTGAAGCCGAGAGCCCCAGGAAAAGAGCACAGTCCCCAGAAAGTTCAGGGGCCCAGAGTTACCTGATAATTGGCAGGAAGTACGTCCCCCACTAAATGGATGGAGCTCAGAACATACTGCATGTGGATATAAACTATGTGGCTGTTTTCCTGCCTGAATCCTAGAGAAATATGGTTTTCAAAGTGGGTGAAACCTCTCTCTGGTTGGTGTCTCATGTCTGGCAGGCGGACCCCCAGGAATGCAGACCGTGGTGTGGGGTTGGAGTTTCTGCGTGACTTTGGAGAAGGCTGCTCCTGGTAGAAACTCTACAAACTGTGGGGCTGCCTTCTGGTGGGTAAAATACTGCACTTTGGACCTTAGCACTCAGATGAACGGGGCTAACAGATACAGATCTGGGTATCCATGTCTCTGGTTCACTGCATGGACTTGGAGTAAATTGCAGGCATCACCATCCTAACGGCCCCTTTATCATTTCTTCTTAATCAGGGTGGACACGGCCCACAGCCTCCAGCCACTGCAGATCCCTCTGCTCCTTGTTGCAGCAAAACTCCTTGAATGGCTTGTCTGTGTCTCCGGCTCCATTTCCTCTTGTTACTGACTGTCCCATTCTGGCCCCAACAAGGGTCCTCCTGCCCGGTGTCGCTGGAGTTCAGTTCAGAAGCGAAGGAAAATGTGACCCCTTAGTCCAAGAAGGGAGCAGGGCCAAGGGCTCTAGGGCACATGCTCTCCTGACGGCAGGGTAGGTGGGGCGGGACTGCTCTACAGGGATCCTCAGGGGGTGGGATGTGCTCTGGGGGTGGGGGGGTGGGGCTGCGCTGCTCCTGTGCTCGCTCCTATTTCACGTGCTCACAGCGTCTCCCTAGCCATATCCGTGCGCACAGCCCTCAGACCCCGTCCTGCACTGAGGTGTTGGCACGTCCCTCCGCCCCAGGACCTCTGGTCTGCGACGCCAGGTGCAAGGCCTCTGCACCGCCTCTGTGAGCAAGTGAAGCTAGAGGAAGCACAGAATAAAAGGTTAGACTTTGTTTTATTACCAGATCCTGTTTTTAATTGTCAGTGGGCTTTGCCTCCTGCTGGGCATGGAGTCCTGACCCGTTGGAGGAGCAGAGCTTGGTGGCCCCCAGGCCTCGGCCCGACTGTTCGTCGCTCTGAGGGACCCTCCCGATTTGTCTAACCTTTTGGGGACAAAGGAACCCGGACAACTTAGCTCCGTGGCCCAAATATCAGCTAGAGTCATGGTCCTGACAACGCAGGTCCAGGACTTGGCTTGTGGGCAAGTGTGCCCTGAGGCCGAGGCTCCCAACGGCCTGGATCTCCCTGCCCACACGGCGGAGAGGCCTCAGGTCCGAGGGGATCCCCCGAGCCAGCAGGAGGCCATGGCCGCAGGTCGTCTCTGCCAAGGTGGGGGCTCAAGGCCTTTTCC